TCACAGACGCTTGAGCGCTCTGAGAGCCCTGGCGACGAGGCGAAGGGCTCGCCCCATGCTGGCTGCGATGAGGGAGGCAACCCTCCGAAGAACCTCTCCGTAGCCGAGGGCCATGCTCAGGGTGCTAAAGCCGCAAATAAAATAGGTGGTGCAGCCAGTCGGGCTCACACCGGCGCGGGAGAGAGAGTTGTCGACCGACGGCCATCCGGATCTTGGACGTTTATCAGTACTGGACGAACCAAACTCTGCGAGTGGAGTTAGCAAACTCGTTACAGAGAGATACCGTCTGACGATTTAGATACACCTCAGAATAAAGCAACACTATCTGAGTGGTCAATCATGATGAGGCACATCATGAACGGAATTAAAGCACGCTTGGGCTCTGCAATGCCTACAGTCGTCGATGAACCCCACGCTATCAAGTTGTTTAACATAGGACATGAGGTACTTCGACTAAAGCCGAGCAAACGAAAGCGTAGAACACGACAGCTGAAGTTGTCAACAGTACTCAGACTCGTCCGACAAAATTACCAAGATTAGGAAAGAGACCACCAACCAACTTCCAAACCACGAAAACGGCCAAGACGCACAAGCGATGGTGTTCACTCTGCTCGCGACGACGTAGTAGAAGCACCCAAACAAGTAAACAGTATTTGAATCTTGGCCTTACATGATTAAGCTTTTGATTAAGTTTTTTCAACCAATCACATCACATCACCATACCGTCGCAGAATGCCTCTTACGTTTTCTCAAGTCAATTCATTGATTTAGTATTATTTCCAACTGCGGTTAAGCGCAATGATTTGCTGCAATATTGAAAGAGGCTGCAGTTGTGTATTGCAATGTACCCACTCAAAGAAGGGTACATTGGAAACGACAGCCTGAAGATGGTAAAGGCATCAAATGTGGAATATTATTCCCCGGATACAATTGAATATAATTACTGCTATCCCAGAAATAATGGTATATAGTACTGTAATACTTCACTTGATATTTTTGGAGAGAGTAGAAGACTGTAATATAAGAAATAAATCGAAACCAACCCACCTTATTCTATTGCGTCTTTCCCAAAGTGTCCTTGAGCTAGGGCGCTACGCAGGGTGGCTGTAGGCACCCAAGAAACTTATCCAGCTTGGACTGATTCCACTTCTTGTACAGGTCCTTTGGCTCATCCCGCTTCAGTAGTGCGTTTCCGAACTTCTTGTATGTCCGTACTCTTGGATCAAGTTTGTCCATTACACTTGAGACCATCATCGAATCCTTCACGTCCTCCAACCCTTTGTTCTTCCTCAACCATTCTATTACTCTTTCGCCTGCCGATTTCAATGATTTAAGTTGTCTCTCTTCCCCTTCAGCGTCGTGAGACCTCAATCGCCGTTTCTGGTTGTCACTATCCAGCAACGAATTCGATGGTACGCCTTCGGGATGCACTAGTTTCGGGAGTGTTACTGCACTTGAACTCGTATCCGGCGACAAGGCACCACACATTACAAAGGTAATGACTTGTATGATGAGCAGCGCAAAACGGAAGCGCATATTCAATTTCAGGATGGCAGAAGTCGAAAATCAGTGTAAGAGATCTTCCGTGGAGGAACAATGAAAATGTGAAATGTGTGGACCGGGAATCGCGACGGCATACATGTACGTACATGCTATGTTCGTGAGAGTCATTTGAAAACATCTTTGTACATTGTGCAGCTTCCACTGCAAATGGGTGATCTCTACAGTATCGTCTTCCTAACCATCCAGGGGTCTTGCCATATATTATAAAGGCAATAGAGGTTGACAGTAACGGTAAGGGTAAGAGATGAAGAGGATGCCACAAATTTTAAAAGGATATAGCGGTTAACGAGGAGAAGTGATAGAAGTGATAGATTTGTACAAATGTACAAATGGCGTAGTGAACAGAGCCTAAGATTATCTTAGGCTCTGTTCGCTACTGCAACGTGCGTCATCTGTACGTATCTATCCAAACCTATACTCCACTAGCTATTCTTACCTTGCAAAGAGTAAGATAACAAAAGTGGTCAGGTTGTGGAGTATATCCCAGAAAAAGCACACGGTCTTTGTACTTATATCCAGCTCAAGATCATCATGTGCTGGTAGATAGCGTACGTAATCTGCACGTACGGCAATTTGCACAAGGTTTCGATGAAAACACACTGCTGATGTTCCTAAACAATCTTACAAGGAAGGCTCCACGTAGAACTTGCACTTAAGTAATCTTCCTTTCTTCCGCGCACAGCAGCCACAACCCGATTGTATACGTCATGCTTGGAATTTCCAACCCGAAAATTCGCTACTAGTATTATAAATATATCCAGTCCCATTAAAGCCTTGTTTATGAACCTGTTTAATAAATGAAGATGTAGTAGATTGTGGCAAGCGTCGCTACAATGTACCTAGTGTACATGCCATGTAATCAATGATAGCGCTACTTCTGTTGGAAGAGCCAGCTTGAAGAGATCTGATCATTCACTTTTCAATTCCACAACACCTTGTCTTAGGGAAGACGTTCCTTACTACATGTGTGCTGGAAACCAGAAACGGCGATTGAGGTCCCACGACGCTGAAGGGGAAAGAGATAACTTATATCATTGAAATCGGCGAACGAGAGAGCAATAGAATGGTGGACACTGTAACGCATCTGCGTTATATTTTTTTGCCTACGGTAAGATATAGGTAAGACTTTTTCTACTCGGAGTATGTGTTTATGGGGTTGCTGTTTACGGGTTTATGGCACGTTCTATCGAAACGATTACAGGCGCATGTCTGTAAGCATTGGGTCATTCCTGAAAACTCAATTTGATCGTATCAAATGACGGCCAAAACGAGGCTGTGATATTGGTCGTACCAAATGCTATGCATCCTGAAAACACAGTTTGCTCATTTGAAAATCTACGACATACGCCAACATCCACAATGGGCGCTACAGCTATCGTGCTTCTTGCTGCCCTTCAACGTCGTAACGTGGCCACTAGAATAAGAGCTCCCGTGCTCCTGGGTCTCCTCCGTGAGTGGTGCCTGATGTAACCTGGAGGGGGTTAGCTGCGTGAGCGGAATTTGGGGGTGTTTACCGCCGTCCTTAAGAGCTTGAAATCTCCAGCAAGCTTGAGGTGATGGCCTTCATAAT